CCTTGAAGAACTCTTCACATGCATCAAAAACCTCCGGGCAAACATGTCGGTAACAACCTTGTTACTAGAAAAGTTAACTTACAATTGATCCAGACACAGCTAAACCTTAGCTGTTTCTAACCACCTAATTTGTAAATCACAGAAAAACATCTTCGATTGGGCAATTCACAGTTTCCAAAACTCTGGACTATTTTTCTTTCCACTGGATCTCCAAGAACGAACTCGTTCTTCTCCAACACTGGAACTCCAAGGGCCTCTTCTCCAAATTTTTAGAACTCTGAAAGCTTATAGGTGAAGAAAAAGATTTTGGTGTTTGATCAAAGATCTTATTGTGTTTTGATCAAAGGGTTGAATCAAGAAATTAAAGAATATGTTTTCGGATCTTAAAAGATTGATCTCTAATGTAAATAATGACCTAAAACACTTCGGGACAAACCTGTGCCTGTATATTTATAATAGGTAATGTTTGGAGTAAATTAGGACTAAAAACCACAGTTAAAATTGAAATAGAATTCTGTATCGTCAAATCGTTGTTTGAGCGAAATACCTCGCGTTTAGCAAGTGGTCAACATGTGGTACGAGCGCCAGGGTCACGAAGGTCGAGCACTGATTTTCCTGTTTTGAGCGCCAACTAGGCGTACAACGAGCAGTCGTGAATCCCAATTTGATCTACTTCCTGAAGTCCATTTCTTGATATTATTCTTGAATTTATTTGACTTCTTTTATGATTATACCAACACCAAATTATTTTGACTATAATTACAACTCAATAAATCATATTTTGAATTTAATTACAACTCATAACTTTTAATTTTGAATACGAAAGTTGCCAATTACAAATTTACAAATCCTAATTACAAATTTGGATCTAACAATCTCCCCCTTTGACATTCCGTGATAAAATCATTTATTTCAAAGTCAAAATCAAAATAACCTAGCATTATTTACCCAAAGTCAATTATCAAATAAACTTCAAACCAGTATCATGTTAACACGTTTCCTTAAACACATTAAAACAAAAATACCACGTGATAAATAAGAGGAAACTGACAACTAAAAAATATAACTAAATCATTTAAAATAACGTAAATAAAACTTGTGTAATATCAAAGCATGCAATACTATGTGTATCAATAACTTAGAAGTAAAAATAGAATATTAATATCAATATTGATAAAACTCAATATCAATATTAAAATTCCAAACCAAAAATAAAAATATATATATATCATCAATAAAAAATGACTCCCCCAAGTCAATATCGAAAAAAAATCTATAACTACTCTCCCTCTTACTCCCTCTCCTGAAATAAAATAAATATTCTCTCTCCCTTTTGTCACGAATAATAAAGGAAAACATGAATCAAGTAATAGAATCATGAACAGCACATAAATGAATGCACTACAAATGTACTTTGATGAAACTACAAAGTAAAAAAAAAAAAATGCATATGTGTAGTAAAAGTACTTATGCAAAACATGTAATAGGAAAAACATTATATCACTGAGAAGGGATATAAAAAAATTACTGGTGAATGAATATATTTCTCAAATTATGAAGGTAAATACAGTGCTACTAGGATCTTTAAAATAAAATGGGTATTTTTTATTGCATAACATTTTTCTCTTCCTATTTGTTAGCATATATAATTTTTTACATCTTATGTGCATGCTTTTATTCATTATGCATGCTAAATTATCCTTATAACGAGTTTTAGGTCGATTTCTCCAAGTTAGATGACAATAGGACAGTAGGTTTTAAAATACCCCGCATACTTAATTACTCTCAAGTAAAAAAGATTACGAATGTAACTTACTTTTTCAATATAATGCAATTATTTTTCTTTTGAAGCTCAATGATAATTTTTCTTTTCTTTTTTTTTTTGGGGGTGGGGAATATGTTAGAACTTAGGTCAATTAGTTTAAAGGTCAATTCATATTTAAAGACAACTCACTACATTGATGATCGTCATCCCAAATCTTACACGTGGTCAAGACTCACTCACAGTAGTTAAAGTGAGTTAGGCACCCATTTTCAAAAAATATGTTTTCAATGAGTAAGCGGATTGACTTCGGCCAGATTTTTCTATTTTCCGGTTGAATCAACCGATTTAATCCTATTTTCATAATATTGCTAATTAACCCACATGAGTTTAATTTTCAAGTATCTGTTTACGATCATAAATTCAAAATAAAATATTAACATTCATTTCTTGAGTACTAGCTAACTACTTTCATCTCTTAATTAATAATTTGGTAAAAGTAATGTATTAGAACTTCGGATATTCATGAATAAGTAGAAATTTCTTTAATAATGTATGAAAAGCAAGATTATATATTTCAACATACAATCACTCGATTTAACAAGTAAAAAACATCATATTGTCTGGTTCTCAGTAACAAACATGAAACTAATTCGATCATGTCAACCCAGTACATCTTAACAAGAAAAATTTAAAACGATGAACTAAAATGTAATAAAAGATAATTTAGCTACATTGATCACCCTAACAAATAATTTTGCAAATAAATATGATGAAGAAAATCAGGACAAGAAGAATGTGACATATATAAACTGGTAAATTAACAACAATGAATATCTTCAATATTTAATTTCCAGAGTCCAACATTTTCATGCTTGAATTCCCTTAATTTATTAACTTCTCTCATTGATTTCTTCTAAAAGATTGATTTGTAATGTATTTGATTCAATCTCTAATATGTGGTGTTCTCTAAACACACATTTTCAAAAAAAAAAAAATCACTATTAAAAAACACATTTTCTCCAATAAGAATCTCATTAAAATCAGATTTTAATTTTGCATTCTCATTTCTCAACAGCTAAGTTTAAAAAACTACAAAGTGCACATAACATTTGTATAATATTTTACAGCCTACATAACATTTGGAAAAATATTTCTCCTATTGATTCCACAAATATTTCAAACTTCATCCTTAACGTATATTTAATGGAAAACAAAAATGATAAATGGGAGAGAGAGAGAGAGAGAGGTGCCCCATCACACTGTTAAACTTTGAGGTGATCGAATTTTGGTCACTAAATTTTGGAAAAAAAATATTTCTCCAATTGATTCTGCAAATATTTTAAACTTCATCCTTAATGTATATTTAATGGAAAACAAAAATGATAAACAGGAGAGAGAGAGAGAGAGAGAGAGAGAGAGAGAGAGAGAGAGACTTTTTTACCATCTTTATTGTTTTCAAATACATAGGCATATGATATTGTATCCTAGTCTACCAGGATTTGAAAACGTCGTCTCCACCATTCATAAATGGATAATCTCAACAATGCCTTAATGGCCGATCACGACTTGAGAAGAATGTAAGATATTCATGTAATAATCAAAAAATAAATAAGAATATTCAGTAGTGAATTTCCAAAAAATACAAATTTATTGTCAAGAAAGCGAGAGCATTGTCAAAAGATAGATAAATATTTTACAAAAATAACGATAAAATATTGAACACGATCACTCACAAGCAAGCTAAAGAAAACACACTATAATTACATGAAACTCTCGAAAAACATGACTTCCACTAAATTGCATTACACACGACACCCGTTATTGAAGCAATAAGAAAGCACTCTAATGTCCTTGCACAATTTTGACAAACAGAATGAGAAATACTTAAGAAGTCCACCTCAATAAACCTCCTCTTTTTGGTAATTTGAAATTATCCCTGACACACAAGATATTTAGAGAAACTAAATTAAATAGATCAAAGCTTTAGTATTATGACACTAATCATCAATGAGTGCTATCAATTTAAATTCAAACACATACACAAAGCATTAGCAGTTATTAATTTTGTAATAGATGTTTATCACATTATGCCCCTGTTTGTCTACCATTATTTCGAAAAATTGTTTGCTATAGTAAAATTCTCCACCACTCATTCATCAAATAAACTATTCTACACACAAACCAATAAAGTTACTTTAATTTTCAACCACACATTCTCCAAAAAATACTATTCATTACACTAATTTTCTCTCAATAATGGGAGACAAACAAGCTCTATATAAATACATGCATGATGCATATTCGTGCAAAAATAATCATAACATCTTGAATTATGAATGACTTTGGTTCAAAAACTCTTATCCCATCTATTTGTATTTGGTAATCTTAATTGGATATGACAAGTAAAATTTTGTAACATATCCCTCTGTTAAAATTTGGTGTGACCTGAATTCCTTGTTAAGTAATTGAAAATTTTTAATTGAAGTGCACGTCAAGAAGAATTCAATTTGAAATGCTATTGGAGTTTTATGTCAAGTTTAAGTTCTATTTTGGAAGCCCATTGGGAGTTAAAATTTATTTTAGACTCGATTTTTTAGTATTTTACTTCATCAACAACTCTATTAGCAGGGTTTGGACATCTCTTACATATTCCCTATAAATATTAGGCTCTTCTATATAATTTTATAAGTGTGAGAAAATAGATTACTAGAATTAAAAGATCAATTGTAATTTTCTTTTTTTTTTTTCATTATTCTTGAGTCAATAAAATCTCTTAATCTATCTATCACATTTCTTGTATTTATTATACTTTATTATTTGCCATATAACTTCAACAATTCATTTCGATGATTGATTTTATCAAGTGGTATTCAAACAATACATAATTCTTGTATTTTCAACATTACTAACATCGATCTGAGTATATTAATATTTTTTATAACAAGAGATATTTTGGTTGTTTCACAACACACTCAACTATATTCAATATCATCTATTACTAAATTATTAAGCTTTGTGTTTGA